GAGATTTCTTAGCCTATTTTGATGTGTTTATATAAAAACTATGGTATTTTTGTGGCCATTTTGTTTATGCTAATACAGTAAAAGTTCGAATAGAAGCCCAATGGGTTTATTCTCGAGAGAAGAATCCCAGTGCAGCACTTCATATCTATAATGACCGGATTGGATTAGATATGTTCATTTCAAAATTTAACAAAAAAATAATTTCTTAGCCTATTTTGATGTGTTTATATAAAAACTATGGTATTTTGGTGGCCATTTTGTTTATGATAATCAAACCGTAAAACCTCGAATTGAAGCCCAATGGGCTTAATCTCGAGGAAAAGCCCATCTCGAATTGAAGTCCCCTCTAGTTTTCAAAAGTAGCCTCGAAAGGAAGCCCATGGACTCCTTTTCAAGATAGCATGAGCTCCTTTTCGAAATATTACAATAAATACACACAAATAAATTAAAAACACGCATGGTTTAATACAGTAGCTTAGGTGATACAATGCCAGTTAATACACTACATGATACATGACTGACAGTAATGGCCCTATTTATTGTTTTATAGTAGTAATTCCTAAAACCTACAGCATTCATATTGAAGAGGAATAAGCCCCTTTTTTCCTTTGCAAAAGCAGCCCCGAATAGAAGCCCATTAAACGGTATCTCAAATTGCTCAATGCTGCCCTGCGTCCAGTAAACAATTTTTTTCATAACTGATTGTCCATCGTACAAAAAAACTTAAGACAAAAAACAATAGATTTTGTTCAACACTTTGGCTGCCGGACTAGTATGAAAATAGTATGCTCAAAGGTATTCTCACTGTTCATAGTTCCTTTTATTTCTCCTTTTGGAAATTCATTACGACATAATTTGTATATATATACATGTTTATCAACTTGTACGTCGGGTCATCCTTTATATGTTAGTCAATGGTGAACATGTTTTATTTTCAAAATCATAATTAGTATGTTATTGCCATTTTAAAGGCTGATAGACTTATTATTATTATTATTATTATTATTATTATTATTATTATTATTATTATTATTATTATTATTATTATTAAAGTATTATTAATAATAATAATAAAATAAGTTAAATGTTAAATCACGCTAATATTAAAACAACACACACAACATGAAATAATAACTATAGTAATTGAATAGAATTCTTATTCACAATCTTTCTATAAATATATTCTTATATTTAGGCATAGACCTACATATTACAATTTTCGTGTTATTTAGGTGCAGACTTTGTTTTCTTTGTAATCATCGAACGCCTTCTGCCACTCAGGTAGGTCGTTATACTTCCAGTTGTAGTAATCGTTCCTCCATAATTCTTCTCATTCGGACATGTCAGCTAAGGAAATAAATGACAACCGAATTGTATTTTCAGCAATAAACATAAATTCATTTAAATCTGAATACTGTGACGCACTTTCTACTAAAACAAAATATAACTTTGCACGATGCACTCCAACATCGTGTTACTAATATAGTTTTGACAGCCTAAATAATGACTCAGTTAAATATAAATTAGGCAGACAACCTTTACAACACAATAAAACTTTACAAGAAACACTCCAACGTTCAACACCGTCATGTATGTTGACCTATTCATATAGCATACCTGCAAATTGTTCGAGTTTTGGCTCGTACGATTGCTCGAGTTTTGGCTCGTACGTGCTCCAAAAGGCACACTTGTCGGCTCGATAAGCTCGTTCAGATGACGACGTTGGATTAATATCAATGTAATTAAGTTCAGGGATTGTAAACTCTGGCCAGACGGCAAGATCTTTATCGAAGGAATGGTCTGACGTCTCATTTCCTCTGGTATTTGGATCACTAACGGCATAAAGAGAAATAGCTGAAAGTTTTAGCTATAATTCGTTTAGAGTTTCATAGAGAAATTTAACAAATTTACTGTAAACCAATTACTTACTCTTTTGAATGACAGTTTCGTCCAACTGTCAGACTTCGTCAGGTATGGGCTGCTTGTTTCGTCCAACTGTCAGACTTCGTCAGGTATGGACTGCTTGTTTTTTCCACGGTCGTTGTTAGGTTAAGCTAACAACGGACGTAGTAACAACAATCAATATTGGTTTAATTTAAGACATTTCTCTATTAACTGGAAACCAAATGAAACTACTTATAACCAGTTTAGTTTACTTAACTTCAAAATTTGAATATAACTTACCCTGTTTTTGCAAAGTTCGTCCAATATCTCATAAATTCCACTGACACATTGCGGTCAGTATCAGACGGCTGTTCCAAAGAATAGGTAGATGAACCATTAAGGAAAGGAAATCCAAACACAAATTGGAGTTCTTCTCCATGACCAGCCCCAATCCAAGGAAGATCATATTCATTATAAGCATCAAATACCGAAACCTTTGGAATATGGGTCATCAGATATACGAACACTTTGTTACCCACTGAGAAATGCGCGTGCTGTACTGCATCACTTGGGCAGAGAAACTGAAAATCTGTGGCCAACCGAACACCTGAATTGAAATAGCTAGCTTCAGGGTCATCTGACTGAGACCAATCGGTGTATTCAAAATATATAGCGTCCAGAATATGGGGATTTGATGCTTCCTTAATCGGAACAAAGGCTGTTGGAATTAAATTAAGGAACTCGGATTTGGAAACATTCGGAGTACTTGGTTTTTGGTAGTCTGGTAAAACCAAATAGGCAAGTGTTCCTTCGTCTTTATTTGTTCCGACGATGATGGTTGCCTGCGTCTTAAAGTCTCCATTTCGAATCAAAATCTCGGGACTGCTTTTTATAAATATTCCGTCTACTACAGGTGCCGGATAAACAGTTATCTGTTACAAAATATGTCAAATTCGCAACTAATTAGTTGCAGTACAAAATGGTAAAATCTTTACAAAAACAATCAACATCAAAAAGTCAGAACAATTTATTACCAAACAGGAGCGGCTCTCCAGGAGCGTTTTTATTATGACATTTTTTATAGCATTTCCGCTATTTAGAGATATGAAATTGTTTGGTCGATCTGAAATTATAATTATGGGCTTGTGCCGTCGGTGAGAGGAAATTCAACCTGTGAGACTGGTCTTTTAGTGTCAGGAAGTATTGCTTGTATAGTCGGGTGTGCTGGTCAAAAAGCACTGAACATCATGCAGGGTCAATGTTTTCCCATAGTTTACATTGGGAACGATTCTAAACGACCTATGCTGAATCTATTCAAGTTGATTAGATTGGAATTTAGTAAGCCCAGTATCCAAAACTTGGACAGGGTACCGTATTCAATAACAGGTCTGGTAATATTGATATTAAAATAAGTAAGGCTATTTTGGTAGAGGCCAACTCGACGTAACATCTTTAAAAAGTACTGTAAAGTATAGAAGTAGCTTTTGAAACAATGGTATCTACATGAGCTTGCAAAAATAACGTAGGGGCCTATTACTTATGATTACACTCAAAGTGTGATGTTGCAATTTCAATTTCATTTTCATAAATGATATTAAGTTTTAAATTTAGACGGATTTATTATATTTTGTAGGTAAATGCATTTTCTACTGTCCTCTTCGTATTAAGGATGATTTTCGAAGGCCCAAGAAAAAGGCAGCTTTTCTTGTTTGGTAGTATAATAATCTACCGGTAGGCCTATTATATTAATTCAATTACGGCAGATAGAATAAATTATTGGCTTATCACTCTTTTTTTTCTCTCCCGGAAATTCTCCAGTAATCCTTTTTTTAAATCCCTAAAGTAAAATAGATATGCATGAATGTTGGTGGTAGGACATATATTATTCCTTAATTTAGGCTTATGTAAATTACAAAGTTTAAAAAATGTTTCCAAATAACTCTGGTGGAAAAACAAGTGACTTTGGCTCTTCAAGATATATATTTTCCATCCATGTATTTGTCTTTTTAATTTTAGAGCTAAAGTAAGCTCAATCCAGGGCATGTTCTTTGACCATGCCCTCCGCTAAAACTTCAAACCCAGGCTGCGGACACGTTGTTATATGTTTTACATGAGGGCCCCATAATGGTCAGCATACCGCTGTTTTGGGGCACCCTCGGTAAATGAAGTTGATTAAAAACTAAAATTTAATACTGTATAATGTATATTATTTGTCCAAATCATTCGTTTTAGTATTTCTAACGTGCATTATTTAATATTACCGTTGAAACCTTCGTACTTTTAACATATTTATATGTCAAAATTATTCGTATTGGCATTTATAACGTGTTTAATCATTTGATAATATAACCGTAAAACCTCGAATTGAAGCCCAATGGGCTTATTCTCGAGAAAAAGCCCATCTCGAATTGATGCCCCTCTTTAGTTTGCAAAATAAGCCTCGAAAAGAAGCCCATGGGCTTCTTTTCAAGATAACATAGGCTTCTTTTCAAAATAGATACACTGTACATTAATTTAAAAAAAACAATAAATAAATTTAAAACAGTTTGGTTTATACAATAGATTAAGTGAATCCATTTAATACACTCCATGATACAGATTGATGTTTTATAGTACAAATTCCCAAAATTAACAGCATTCGTTTTGAAAAGAAGCGTTCTTTTTACTTTGCAAACGAGCCTCGAAAAGAAGCCCATACAAAGTTCGCATAAAAAAGAAAAAGCCCAAAGCTTAAATTCGGAGGTTTTACGGTATTAGTAATAACATTTTTTCATCTATTAACATCATTTATTCTGTTAATGATTTCTAATGATTTTTGTTTAATGTATCCGTACTGATCTAAATTATTTATTCGATTTATCTGATTCTAAAGTTATTTGAGTCATATTTTCGGACATAAATTATTTCTTTATTCATATAGACGTACTTTTGTTGGTGTAATAATTTCTAACGTAGGCTAATTACAAATTTACACAATCGTATTCGAATAATGCCGAACATAATATTATTATATATTCTTTTTCTTTTATAATTTCCGAAATATTTATTCGTTTAACATTCTCAAAAAATATTTAATACAAAATTTAATAGTTTATTCATCTCAGGATTATTTAGGCTCACTTATTTATTTTTAATCAAGCTATCTCGTTTGGTGATATCAACTGCCATTTTTTGTAATGGGACTGTAATGCATTTATTTTGTTATTATTTTTGTTAACATTACATATATTAGTATGTATTAGACGCAATCATTTTAATTTGAATGTTTGATACAGCTCTTCATATAAAATAGGCCTACAAAAAGGAAAAATAGCTAAATACTGCATTATAAAGAAGCAATGAAACGAATCCCATTGGCGTGTAGGGGTAGAATAAGTGTATTTAGGCTTTCAATGAATGGGCATATTCATAATTCTGAAAACTTAAACTGAATTATAGACACAGTGAACTTACCCCTACAGAAGC